GTTGCTTCTGAGCTTGATGGCCGCTTGATTACCTTCAAGCCTTTAAGACCCCAGACGCGTGCCACGGTCTTAATGACTGTGGTTCTTAGTGAGTTTAGGGAGCAGGAAGCACGACACGTCCGTGTTTTTCATCCTTCCTTTTCAAGATTGTTTTGGATGCAATAGCCTTCCATGGGAATTTTAAGATGAGCTTGTGAAGTTTTGGAAAACAAGAAAGTTATGAGAGACAAGAGAACCTCCAACCTGGCATTGGCCTTACAGACTTGGAATTTGCCTGCCTCGACAACTGTGAGACATTTATAAACATCTCCACAGATACCCTCCACTGGCTGTGCTTCCCTGGAAAAGCCAGCCTAAGACGCTGCTCTAATGGAGTGAGTAGGGAATTGAGTTCCCTCCTGTTCTATTTTTTTGAAAAAGTCTGTGAAGGATTGGTGTTAATTCTTCTTTAAATATTTGGATGAAGTCCAAATTATCTGAATTTGGAATTCCTTAAAGAAGCTTTCTGATGACTAACTCAATGTTTTTACCTGTCATAGGCCGACTTATATTTTTTCTTTCCTGAAGTCAATTCTGATAGTTTGTGTGTTCCTAGTAATTTGTCCATTTCATCTAGACCATCTAATGTGTTGGCATATAGTTGTTCATGTAATTACCTTGTAATCCTTTTAATTTCTGTAATGTGGGTAGTGATGTCCCCTCTGAATAAGTTTTTAAATGACATGATTTTAATTATTATAGAAACTTGAAATCAGGATCACTAAAATTAAGAGACATGAGAATACTACATTTCAGAACATTGAAAACTTTATATTACAAGATATAAAAACAAATGCCCAATTAGCAGCTCTAGAAAAATAACTTGTACAAAAACAGAACGTTCGCATTTCTAGTTAAAAGCACCAAAGTGATTTCATCTGAGATAAAATGCAAGAAACACTTCCTAGTTGAGTCCATACACTTGCCAGTGTACCATTTAGTAGAAACGCAACATCCTATAGTAACTACATCCATAAACAGGTAAGTAGTGAACTATAAAAGACCCAATATAATGAATTACCAAGGAAGTAACGATGTTAAAAAAAACCATGCAATAAATCTCAATGTAAATAATCTTTCATAGAACAGACACTAACCCTTTCATTTATTTCTTGAGTTCAAGCATGATATCTTTTCCCAGAGACTGGTCTTTCCTGATACCATGTCCAAAGCAGACGAGACAGTCTTTTAATCGCAGAATCCTTACAGCGGAGCTCAAAAACCAAACCGAGCCACAGTCAATTCTGACTCGGCCCTGGTAGTGGAGGGGGTCACATGTTGGGCTGCTAACTAAGGTCACCAGTTTGAAACCACCAGCTGCTCCAAGGGAGAAAGATGAGGCTTTCTGATCCCAGAAAGATTTACAGTCTTGAAAACCCACAGGGACAATTCTTCCCTGCCCTAGGGTCAATTTGATGATAGTGGAGTTGAGACTGGGTAATTAGGGCCACCAACTCCAAATTACACCTTTTCTTTGTAAGACACTGATTTCCACTTAGAAAGTTAGAAGGCAAACTGCGTGTCAGTACGAAAAGGCCAAGTGAAAAAGGCACTTATTTTGAATGCTTGTGAATCCGTTGTCTAATGTTTAAAGCAACAGCTCTCCTAAAAACACGTTCTCCATCATCTTAGACAAAGACTGAATCACCCACGCAGCGTAGCTGAAGACTTCCCACGCATTCTAAATAGCCTCTGAAACGTGGGCTACAGCGCATCCAAAAAGTTACAGATGCAGTCTTATCATTTGATCTTCCTTATCCATTTAAATTGGTTCTAGTTTGTGATGGTCTCTGCATTCTTTTGATTGAGGTTTTTGTCTGTTTTACTTTGTTTTACTGCTGTTCGTTTTTGGTTGTGGGGGTGGTGTTTTAATGTCTCTGTATATGAAATCTAGGACAGGTAAATCTATGGAGCCAGTAACTAGATTGATGGTTTCCTGAGGGCATTAGGGCT